ATAAAAGCAAATCATATTTACAAGCACGCGCACAAGCATATCACTATAGTGCAAGGGACACACTCTCTTATACACATGTACATGGTTCTCTGTCTATAAAATTGTTTTTAAGAATGCAATTGTCATGTATAAATGCTTTATTCGTGTTTGTTGAAGATTCGACCCTTGCCTTCGGAAGCTCGTAACCGTAAAATCCTTTCGATAAATTCCTAGCTCTTATCATCATTCTTGGGTATCTCTCCAACTTCAATAAAAGATGACCCAATTAAAACCCTCAATAGTAGTGCATAGATCTAAGGGTAAAAGTTTTGAACATAACCTGACCAATAGACGACCCTCCCAAGGTCATTCAACCAACACTCCCAATGAAATGTTGACATCTACTGTAAAAAATTTATTTTTACATTGCCGTCAAGGACTTTGAAGGCCACAAACTGCACTAAACATAGGCCCCCAATTTTCATTCTTAGAGTTATAAAAAAGGATGTTCCGTGTTCTCTCTCTCCACACCATTTTGTCTACCATTCCTTATTCTTTCATTTGGTTTGCCTTTAATGGTATTTCACAGACAGTGCTGGAAAAAGTCATGAAAGAAACTTCTGTTCTCTCTCTCTCTCTCTCATTTAAAAGGTGCAAGCTTTCAGTTCTTTATATGGTTTGAGACTATGAGGCAATATCTTTTTCTCATTTAAAAGGTTCTCTCTCTCTCATATTTAAAAGGTGTAAGCTTTAAGGTTCCTTACAAGGTTTGAGACTAATGTCTTTCTGTCATTTAAAAGGTTTGAGACTTTGAGGTTCTTTTGTAGGCCTTTTTCAGTAATTAAAGAAACAAAAGTGAAAGAAAATGATGCCAAAGTCTTCCCTTTTGCTAGTAACTGGTATGCAAATTCATGCGGCCCTTCAACCACTCTTTTAATGTTCACCTCTTCCAGCTTCCTCCTTAAATTCTTTTATTTTAAAGGTTGGGGACTTGGAGGTTCTTCCTTTCCGATTGTTGACTATGAGATTGTTCTGGAAAAACCTTTCTGCCATATAAAGGAAACACATTTAACAATATGAGGCCAAAGTCCTCCCTTTTCCTAATAACTTAGTGTTAAATTACTGGCCCTCGCCCTAGCCCGGCCCTAGTCCCCATAAGGCTGGCCTAGGTTCATCCTGGCCTAGACGGGGCCAAAGAGGCCCTAGCCTTGGCCTTATCAGGGTCGGACCGAATGGGGTTGGACCTAGCTCAGGCCTAGACTGGCCCTCAGGCTACATTTTGTATCTTAGGCCTTAGTTGCTGGGCATGTAGTGAGTATTTGAAGCAAGTCTAAGCAAACTCGCTCAGCACATGCTTGAATAAGACATTGGAAAAAGTTAAAGAAATTTTTTTCAAAAATTTAAAAAGTGGAAAATAGAAAATGATGAATAAAGGTTGTTTTTCTTTATGTTTTATGACGGACAAAAGATTAAGAGAAAAAAAAAAAAAGAACGTAAAACTAGAGAAAGAAAATACTTTCAATATTTTAGGCGGCAAATAAAAATAAAAAGAAAGATTTCGCTCGCATATTACCTAGCCAGTGGCTTTCTCTTAAGATCTACCTTCCATGGCTAGAAACCTCCTAAGCTTCTATGGGTCTTCATGCCTTTTTATCAAGGAAAAGTTATTTGGCTTGTAATTACATTTTTTTGGATTAGGGTTTACAGAAGCTGGGATTAATTACCACCTTGGAGGAAGAGAAGAAAATAGGTAATCCCAAGAGAGAGATCTTCCTCAATGGGTGTGTGATAGAATTTTTCCTATGTGTGTGAGAGAGAGACAAAGATGCTAAAAGGAAGGGCAGGCTTCTTTATTACCCTCTCTTCTTTTAGAAAATATCTATAGGCGATTTATCTTTTGTATAAGGAAGGACGCAATCATTTTTGTTCTTTAATTTCAAAATGGGTAATCGTAAAGGTGTTATTGATTAAATACAAAGTTCAATAAAAAAATCTTCAAACTTCGTGATTCACTCTAAACCAATCCAATTTGACATCCAATAAGTGATAATATTTGTCATCTCCTTGTAATAAAAATAAACGGTCGCTTTACATACAATCCCTTTATTTTATGTCCAGTGTGCAATATTGGAGAGAGTATTGTACAAACTCGCCTGAATACTATAGAACTTGGGCGAGTTTGCACGACTTCTATAGCACTCTAATGAGCTTGTCCAATACCTGCCCGAGTTTTGCACTAGTACCACCTCCGATTGTGGTACTCCGATTGTGTACACTATTACTCATCTTCACACCTTGCAAGGCTGTGAAACTCGGTCGAGACCTAGTCAAATCGGTCGATTTCTTGAATACTACTAATAACCAATAATTAGAATCACAAAACCGAACCAAAATTTGCTCAAGTCGGGTTGAAATCAGGAGGTGGGTGATTGCGTTTGGAGAACACTGCCTTGGTTCTTTCTACTTTTTTTTTTTTTTAGCTTATTTGCTAAATGTACGCTCCAATTGGGATATTAAGATCCGAAGGCAATCTGATTTAATTTTTTCGGGGGTCCAATCTCGATTCCTGTTTTTGAAATCATGGTTGCCAACTACTAGTGTAATAAATACATAAGTGGCCCTTCAACCATCCTTTCATGTTGCCTTTTCTGGTTCTTTCATAAATTATCCATCACTATGAAATCTCTCTCTCTCTCTCTCATACAAAGGTTGAAGATTTCAAAGTTCTTTGGAACCTTTCTTAATGATCAAAGGAAAAAAATTAAAAAAATTATTTATTTTTTTAAAAAAATTAGTATTAAAATAGTTTTCCTAACTCAAAATTTACGGATTAGAGCAATTTAAAAAGATGATTACCTCTTCAACTACTTTTTTAGAAATACCAAAATACATATGTTATTAGTGTAGGATGTTTAAGGGGTACTTTAGTAAATTCCCTACTCAAGGCATCCCAGCCAACGTGATTCAAATACGTGCTTGTTCCGGATGTTAAACCTTGTAGCATGATTTTTTTAATGAGAATCTCTTATTTTAAGTTTAGAATTTAGAACAAGCAAAAGTATTTACACCATTTAGCTTAAACTAATTGAGGAAACAATGCCGGCTTGTTTTGACAACATTTCTATTTCCTATTAAAATCTCTTACCGTGAGGTCGGAACTAAAGAAAATGGAGGTGCATTTGGATACTTAGTCTTCAATCCCATTTGTTTCATGGAGTACAATTTAAAACTATTCCATGCTTGTTTAGGGTTTTAAAAAAAGGATTCTTCGAGCATTTCTCATCAAATAATCACTGAAATGATTGCCACTTTGAAATAAAATTGATTGATTTAACCGCTCATTAAATTTCTCAAGCGATTTTAACATTTGAGTTATAAGTACCTGAGGTTTTGGGGCCCTCTTCACCGGTTACAACTGATTTGACAAAACGCACACCAGTTTTTACCCTATATTGAAATTTTGCTTTTCCTTGCTGGGCCCCAACAAAACCCTTCTTTTCCACCTTTCTAAAGTCAGCGAGGCAGTTGCCGCTCGTATACCTGGCCTTGTTGACGTTAAATATTAGAGCTGCCACCTCTTTCTCCTCTCGGGTATCGGGTAGGGAGAAAGCTTTTCTCCTCTGCTTTTTTTTTTTTCCCCCTTGTAGTATGTATCACTTGCGTTGCTTATTATTTGCATTAAGAAAGAAACTAGATTAGAAGATAAATGGAAAGGGATGAGTATTGTGCTCAACCTCCAATAATATGTCGACGTATCGTTTTTTATTTTATTTTTTAAGTTCTAAACCTACTCAAATAAACCTTCAAGGGTCACAAGTCTACCAGTTTCATTTATGGAAAGTTTCCAAAAAACTAAATATTACAATCACCTTATCACCTTGAAATTAGAGAAATGGTAAAATTGGTAAATAAGCACAGTTTCAGATACCAATTCCCGAATATTTTTTAACAAAATTTTGCCCATTTCCTTAATAAATTGGAGAAACTTTTATTGTTCATCAATCATACACGAGTACCCTATTTTTTCACATTTCAAGGCTGGGAAGGTCCAAAAGACCAAAACACAGGGGAAATGAATTTTTTTTAGGGAAAAATTTTAACGATGACCCGTTCAAATGCAATTACCATCTAAAAGTCCATATTATCCTAAGTCGCTCTAGACGTATTCCTGCCTTAGATTCATGATTTCGTAGCACATAAAATAGTAATGCATGAAGCATTTAGATGAATGGCAATGGGCAGTCCAACATGAAAGTTAAAATATTTTATTTTTGAAGTTCAAAATCTATTTGTTTCAAATTCATGATATTGATGGGTCAAGATTCTCCACATGTGAAATTTTAAATCCAAAATCAATCTTTGAGAAGGATTTTGGAGGGAAATGCATTTGAATGTGTCCTTTTGAAACATTTCAAACATAAATGCTTCCCATCTTTGAGTGCCATCAGACTAATTACATTTTGGTTGTTGTACTGCACAGATCTCTCTCTATCTCGACTTGAACTTGATGTGGAGCTTTCTCACACGTGAGAGTTGCCTACTCCAAATACAGGACGTTATGGAATGCAGTTATGCACGTCTTATTTTTCTCTCGATTCATAACATCAACTTATACCTCTTCAACTATATTCACAACACCTCTCTCTCTCTCTCTCTCTCTCTCTCTCTCTCTCTCTCTCTCTCTCTCTCTCTCTCTCTCTCTCTCTCTCTCTCTCTCTCTCTCTCTCTCTCTCTCTCTCTCTCTCTCTCTCTCTCTCTCTCTCTCTCTCTCTCTCTCTCTCTCTCTCTCTCTCTCTCTACTCTCTACTACTACTACTACTACTACTACTCTACTCTACTACTACTCTACTACTCTACTACTACTCTACTCTCTACTCTCTACTACTACTACTAC